TATATATATAACACAAAGCTTTGACGTATATTTACTTTGTTATAAACGTTTGTTCAGGCTTTTTGACATTAGCATTATTAAATGGACAGACACTTCGCTTAAGAGCGATCGAGGTTGAAGAAAAGCCAAAGCCAATTGTAAGAATAAGCATTTTACATTTGTCGTCCGCTTACACCAAGGGACAGTGCGAGAATGATAGATGCAGGGCCAGATTTACTTGGACTGGCATCAAATTTAAGGTACTCTCCCTTTATAGCCAAATAAATGAAGATAATAAAGACAATTTGTTAATTATTAGCTATTAGCAGACGAATAGTGCGTTCATCTGAGGTATTCCTAAATGCCTTATTGTAGAGCCTGGCTGTATTCTAATCCGTCAGTGTATATGATCCATTATGGTTTTAGCAGCTTAGTGCATGGCGTAACGTTATATTGTTTCAGGCACTTTTGCGGTTACGAGTACTCGTTAATTTTCTCTTTTCTATTATCAAGAACACTCCCTAACTATAATCTGGTAAAGTATATTATCGCTTTCGGGTCGCTCCCTCGTAAGATCATACGTTTATAGTCCAGCCAATTTTCATGGGCACTCTTATATAAAAAAAATCGGAACCCACGCTCCATTCCAGTTGCTGTATCAGAGGCACACATAGGTGATCACACGCTCGCACAGGAATTTATACAAATTAAGATCTTCTGTGAGCAAACGGGATGTATATGCATCCCGTTGCATATAAGGGAGCGAGAGAAGGGGATGGGAAAAATATGCCAAACATATACGGTACATCGTGTATGTGTGTGTGTGTGTGTGTCGAAGCTACGCGAATTTAGAAATTGTACCCAATGGAAAGACAGACATTTCAGCAGATTTTTCTCTTTTGTTTCTATAAAGCAGTTATGTTTCTATAAAATAACTGCGATTACAGCCTCAATTCGGTACTTATGCCGCTAGATAGCCATTAATTCTACTTAGCGATCGACAAATTTTTAATAACCGTCTGTCAAGATACACTGGCACTTTTTTAAGGTATAAACTTCGGGCTGACAGCAGAACAAAAGTGCTAAAGATACGAGGTCCGAGACGACGAAAAAGTTGTAAAAAACCTGGAAAAGACTCGAAAGGTCTCAGTTCAACTAATTATAGGAGATTATCTGGACGCCTGAATTGGTAATAAGAATTTTCGTCTTCAAAAGGCCTGTTAATTTCTGTAGGAAACAAAGTGGTGTCAAAAAAAGCTTTAAGAAAAGCTATGTCGACCAAGTCTAAAATATATTGTGGATTTTTCAATTTGCCTTACAAAAGTCTCGCTCGGATTTTTCAGAAACCGCACAATTTCTTCTTAAGTTAAAAAAATGGCGCGCTTTTTTTTTGTAAGCTACAGTTATTAAGTTTGCCATTTGTGTGTGAAAAGTAACGAATAAACGCATGCAGCAGAGCAAAGCAAATGTAGTTCTAACGTCTGTGTATTTTCACGTACCACACTGAACACTATACAGTGTACAGTGTACAGCATGTAAAGTGAAGACTGTTGTAAAGTGAAGTCCTTTTGTCGGGAAAGCGAACAGTGAGCAATGCGCAAGCCTGTTAACATTTCGGTGACCCTATATGATCATGACGAGGTTAACGTTATAATTTATTGAAGAAGCTATACGCTATCTCATCGTTTAATTCTTTGATGAAGGCTATGACTCTCCAACACTGTGCCTGTAGGCCGCGTCCTATTATCTGCCACATCAAGAGTTATGACAAAAACGGACAAGTTAAAGACATCTGTGCACTTAAAACATCGCATAAGTGGACATGTGCTTAATCTCTTCATGAGTCAAGCAATACTGCTCGTAATCTCACGGTACACGAAAGCAAACGTCGGTAATTTCCTAACGGAAAACGCTTCGGCTTAACGAAAAGTTAACGGTAGACATTATACATGTAGTTTTTTTTCTCAGTGCACCTAAACATTAGATGTAAGTGTTAGCATAATAACTAACCTTTACCCGGAGATTGTACTCACTGTATTTATGGCCTGTATGAATTTTAGTCAGCTTGCAATAGCACAAGAGCAGTCTTCCTATTGATGGTAAACAACGTGACCATAATCGGGAACATATTTAACTCGAACAAGCTCCTAACCGAACGGGAATTGTAACCTGTAGATTAAGCAGACGACCCAGTACCGTCATAGTTACAACTGCCAATAATGCTCAGCTGAGGCCATGCATGACAAGTATATAGATGCTAAAAAACAAAGTTTTATAGTCGTCCAAAAGGAAATTTGTCAGATTTTAGCGCTTTTCAGGTCCACCCAGTATTACAAAGCCTTTTATTCACCTAAGAATAGCATCTGCTTGATTATGTGGGAATATAGGAAAAACGTAAAAAAAAAAAAATACATTAATATATCGCATCTATCTTCGTTATTTAGTGAAGGATCTTCGTTTTCAAGTCTATTTTATGGCTGTGGAAATTTTTGAATGTTCTACAATAAGCGAATGGGTTCCATTACTGAGATCGTCGTTCGTGACACGGTCCTCATTGGAAGAAGGTGAGTTCTGGTGCCTATAAACGATCGAGCTTTAACAGAAACGTAAGAACAGATATATTTGGATGCTCTATGTGTTGTGTTTGATGTATTAAAGGTTTTGACCTGAGTCCATATTATAAGTCCCTATTCTCAAATACGTGTTGACAATAATTTCTACACTAAGCTTATGAGAGCCTGCTTAATTGGCTCGATGTCTGCACTGCACAGACTAAATAAAATGGAAACCAATATTTTTGGTATAGTGGCTCCCTTGACTTGATAAAGGGATTTACACTCGTAAGCGAGAAAGTGTCTGTACAATGAGAAGAAGACGAGCCAAGAGCGAAGAACCACACATATGAAGGTTGCGTAGTTACGAGGCCGACCGCACCACGTACCTCACGGTTTTGGCAGTAGTGAAGTCCAAAGCAATTTCATAACCTGAAGTTGTGGGACAATTCAAGCCAAAAATCAGCCTTTGTTCAAAGCAGTCATCAGCTATAGCTGCGAGAGCACGTAACGGTAACTGGCATGAGTACAAGTTGCCGATCGAGAGGATAGTCTCAAACCCACAGAATTGATCGGGCATGCTGGTGCAATATTTTCTCAGAGAGCGTCATTGTGTTTGGCATAGGCAACAATCTGTATCGCAATCGATCTGAAAAATTCTGCTCATAAACCTAGGTGCTTATAGCTAAACATAGCAGTAAATATAGATAAACGTAAAAAAAATTACACTTTTGTCGAGAGAAGAGCACGTTTGTTGATATCAGAGCTATTGAGACTGGATGAATGGAAGAGAATCGACTTGCGACCGTTTCCCAGTAAAATTATCAAGTCACCACTGTCAAGCTATTCAGCTACAGAATCGCGTAGGTAGCTCAGAGCGTGCCATTCAATGAAACAAGCAAACTATTCGTATTATACCTGTATATATCGATATTTTGAATAGATTTAGATATATCATCAAGTTATAGAGGAATTTGAATCAGTTAATTTAAGTTAGGTATCAAGTACTTAGATGCGCTTACGTACCATTATTGCGATAAAATGTCACTTCTCTTTTGCTAAACTTTCACGGGGTTTCATTGTACGAAAACTGTATTAACAGTCGATTATTTCTACAACTTGATTTTCTGCTACTTGCGAAAACATTACATTGATGGAGTACGGCATTGAAGTCCATCACGGCCTCTAAAATGTATAGTACTTCATCTTTGATGTTTTTAACCATGGATATTGAATGTTTGTTATTAACTATAGTTTAAGCGTTTGAAAATCGTCAAAGCATGGAACGAAAATTATGGATCAAAATTTGATCTAACTTAGAAAATAATTTTTGTTTCGGTTAACTTAATGATATATATACGATTTTGGAATCTCTGCTTAATTTACCAATGAGCCCCGTACGATGCAGCAGGCAAATTATATCTCAATATGGGGTTTCGATAAAGCTTTACGATGTTAAAACTGAGCTCGGCTGGCCTTTATTATTATAACGCCGCCCCTAGGAATGTGAGCGGCTTCTTTTCTAATGGTGTGAGTCAATTTTAGTTCACGTCCAAGTCAGATTCACTGTTACTACTTTACAATCACAATGAACATTTTATAAACCCAACAGCTGACTGTAAATATGCCCGTTTGGGTACGTATTGAGAGAAAAAACCTCTCTTACATTATATGACATTTCCCCTAGCGCGAGCATTCAAGGTTCCACTTAATAACCAAGCTCCTAGAGGATGCGCTAGTAGGGCTTACGGACAATGCCAGGAACTTAATATCCTCGTTTCCCTAGCTTCATTCCCATAGAAAGTATGCGAGCCTATACAGCCTTACAGGTGGACGTTTATTATTGCGAGGGGTAAACGTGCAACACATGTTTACTTACAGCCACTTCTTGCCCCAATCTCAAAAAAAAATTATATGACGACCTTGAGGACATTCCGTGTCGTCTTATCAATATAATACAGCAACATGTTCATGATATAAATCATAATTTCACGTAGAAATCTTTCATATTTCATTAGCACGTTCTTGACTTCACGCTGAAAACGACATCAATTATGACACGGGTGTTTTTCGACAACAGATGCACCTTAATGGCATCGTATTGTACATGGGAACTGCGCTCCATTATTGCCTCCTGTTGAGCATTCGCGGTGGGCAGATCTGTTCATTCTTTTGCGGGCCCCTTTTTAACAGATCATATATAACGAGAGCTAGGTTCGAACTCGTATACTGCAAGATGACACAAGTCCATGTGGTCTGGTTAGATTTCGCATTTTTAAATACACAGTAACACACTACGTTGCGACCCTATAATATTTACTTGGGAGCTTTCTGTCGTTGAAATTCTAAAGAGCCCTAAAGAAGTCGACTAGCGCGCATCGATTGTCGCCTCCCAATGTGTTCATTTGCCCCGTAATCAAACATCTCCCGGGAAATAAATAGTTAGAAATGTATGGGCCCGACTACGATTCAGCGCCAGGATTTAATGTCCTAGAGCACGACAGCTACTGACGGTAGACCCAGATGGCATGGTCACAGACGACGCATGCATGCATGCAGGCAGGTTGTTAATCTGCTATCAGTGTTCGAGAGGGCTCTGGCTAATCTGACCTGACTGTGCAGTGTTTGCACCTATCTGCCTCGACCGGTTCTAGGACTTACCTTGTTTTCCTTTTAATTCTTTGCCGCTTTGTACGCGATACATGCATTATTGAGAGATAATGGATACGCCAATGGTAAACGATGGGCCACTTGCTCGGAAACAGATAGCAATGCATATGAGCAACGACATGAATGAAAACGAGTTTGCCGTAAACTGAACGCTATTTATTACCGTATTTCTACGGCTTCTTCTGAGGACACAGGTTACATTCGATCGATTTAATTTATTTGATATTCCTGGTGAGGGTGCAGGTACCCGCATATGGCAGACGTGATGTTAGTGTAAACAACTTGATGCATTTGCAAAGAAAAGCGAAATTGGATCATGAAAGCTACGGCAGAACAAAGGACAGGATATCATGACAGTCCCTGATCGTTTGGTAGTTGTTTATCTACGTCCATATTGCTAAGTCATTTGTATTATTTACTAGAACTAACTTATAGAATAGCGAGGAAATCAATGTTCGCTGGGTCTACTAAAAAACACGTATGATGATAAAGTAGAAATCGGATGTTATCAACAAACTTTTTCAGAGCACAGATTTCATCTATAGGACCAGTCTTTTGATTGACATCCTTTTTCTGACGGCTGTACTCTACCCACATGTATTTCCGTTATCACCACGAACCAATTGTACTTACATTTCTAATTACCCGGTGACGCTATCGGCGCGGAGCTCCATGGCACAGTACGTGTATTCTTGGCCGTTCGAGACGGCGTGCGCTAGCGGCGTCGAGATAATTCCATTCTCCTGTTTTAAACCCGTTCTTTCAACACTACTCGTTGATGTAGACGGGAGACAGTCACCTTAGCCGTGATGACTGATGCGTTCCACCTCAGCTTCGCGCCGTGTCCCCTCCTGTTGATTGACACGATCCAGTCCCACGAATCTTCTGTGTCCACCCACTTCATCAAGCGATGATTTTACAAATTCGAAAAAATCGGTGAGATGGGCATCGAGCCATTTTGCCAGTCAGTCAACATTCCGGCATCAACAAGCGATTGTAACACGTTATAGCAGTAGAACCCGATACAACAACCAATGTAGTTAGCGGGTGCTAATTGCCACCGGCTTTCTGAAAACCTGCTGTACACTTAATCAACACATATCAGTTTAGACAGCCGTAAAACAACAATTTCCAGTCCTTTGCGGGTCTTCAAACAGCGGCGCCAATAAAACAGAAGTCATCGATTGACTAACCTTGGCCACCACGCAGTTTCCTCAATCATTGCCGCTCGACCACTGACAACTATAACCAGCTCTGTTATTGTTACTATGCATCTTCCCACCTTGCCGTTGTTTGCGGAATCTATTGCTGGCGCGGCTTGTGCATCAGCCAGAGAAATGCAAACTCAGCTGTCGCTGGACTTTGAATGAAGCTTGGCTTGGACCCGTCAACTCGATAGTGGCGCGGTGTTATGCGAGCGTGTGGAAGGTATACGACTAGTGGCGGTAGATGTCCAGCAAATGATAGTGGTAGTGCCAACTGTGGGTCGTCTGCTCTCTCAGGAGAACACAGGACGACACAGGAATAGCTAGTGTTGCCCAAAGACATTCGCAGGATGGCGATGGCTCGGAAGAGGGTAACGCTGTCGCTGCGGCTACGAAGGTCTGCTCTTCTCCTGCGAGCGGGGAAAGGGTAAGGACTCAAGGAGGGTAAGGGCAGGATGGGTCAGGAGTTTGATCGTGACTCAGCGCATGGAGGAGGCTGGCGTCGAGGTGGGCGCACGGGGATATGGGGAAATTCGAGAAAGGCGTCCGAGGGTGATTAAGGTTTGAATCGTGGCGCCACCAAACTACATAGGCAAATGATATGACAGTGAAGTTCGCGCACGAAAATAAGTAAAGATCCGGTGAACGATCTTCATAAGTGAAACAACAATCGAATAAGAATGGAATAGGCGGCAAAGGATTTTTCGAAGCTATGTATATGTTTCCTCTTGTCTTTGGTTCTACTACACGTCTGCAAGCCAACGAAGCACATGCTATTGATTACCCTTTATAATAAATGCATGTCAACTCAATTTGCTAATCCGATCTGCTTACCAGTGTGGTCGGGCAATCAGCTCGGATCCGCCTGATTACGGCAAACTGCGCATAAAATCGATATTTCAATAGGACTCGACCTATTTGAATGGAAATGCGCTCGCAAAATGCCAACTTTCGCAAACGCACACCAACAAAGACGAAATTGCCGCAAATAGCCAACATATTATCAAAAAGCAAATGAATAAAATGAGCGTTGCTTGCGCGAACGGAAAAGGAGTCGAAAATTAACCGTTTGAAGCTCGACACGCATTCACACCACCGTGTCGCCCAATGGGCACGCGACACCCCACACACATACACACGGGAACGCCCACGCCCGTGAATTCGTAACTTTGAAAACAACAACATCTACAGCAGCAGCAACTGCTGCGTCAACAGCTACAGTAACAAGCGGAGAAAACAACACTGACAGCTTTTAGTTTCTGACAGCTGAATGCTACCCGTCGCCGCCAGGAGTGATACGTCATCCGGTTCAGCAAAAGTTAGTCAGATCCGAGTGGTACCAGTTCAACATTAGCGGCAACGCAAGTGTGGTCCCGTCAAGCGCGTTAGATAATTGACATCAAAAGTCCTCCTAGGGGACGCCGACAAGGTGATTGTGTGCGGCACTGCTGCTGAGGTCAATGAAGTGTTCAAGGCGGCGATATGCTACACATCACCAACAGCAGGCACAACAGGCACAGATGCAAGAACTGCCCTAAAATCAGTCCAGAGTTATCTTTTTGTGGGAGACAGCAACTAAAGAGGCATGAATAGTCAGAATAATAATGGAATAATTTTCAACTATTACTTGAATAAACACTACCCACTATTGTTTAAGGATCTGGGGTCCCTTCTGTGGCCAGCTTCTCCAAGCAGCACCTCTCATACGAATACACCTCTGTGTTTATATGTGCGAATATGACAGGCGTAGCGATAGCCTATGCCTGGTCTGTAAGTGGAAACTGGGGCAAAGCAGCCGCGGGGCAAAGCGAAAATTAAATGAATAATGTTAACTTATGCTTGACACCGACGGGGAATTCAGTAACGGGCGCTATTGTAATCAAGTTGAAGGTTCACGCAACCATTTGGCGCGGCAAAAACTGGTTGCCGCTAGAGGTATGGATTCGGAAGAATGCTGAAGAAGAAGCAAAGGTTTATCAACATTGAACGACGATAATATTAAGGGCTAGTTCACTTGCTGCGCGTTCTCTATGGTCGCTTCAGTATAATAGAACTGTATGGGTATATATTATAGAAGGTAAAAACGCTGTTGCAATCGAGGGGGGTGGTAGCTTAGATTAAGCTGCCGTTACTGTTGTTTGCTAATAGGGAGGGTGGAAAAAGGCCTGGAGGCAATGCGAGGATAAGGGAAACTTGAGTGTAATAATGAAATGATTTAAGCCCGTTGAGGGTAATGCTTTTCCGAACTCGTGTGGGTGCCACATGTGCTTGTATGCTCTGTCGCATTTTTGGAATCGTCAAGGAACGAAGACGCTAATAAAGAACATGTATATATATTAAATTAATCTCGGCTCAGCATAGACGCCTGTAGGTTGTGTACGCACCAACAGTTATCCCTTTTCGATCTAACCTATGATGCTCTCACAATGATTTCATCAGCTTGTCCTACTATAAGTGAACTTGATTGCACGAGCTCTAGTATATTCCAGCTAGCCTAACTTTAGACCTACACCTTTCTATAAACTGAGTTGAGTTCTATTAGATTTTGCAGCAGCGACTCGTTGCAGCTATCTGATAACAGTAGTTCTATAAAAGCCTATTCGGTTCATTAATTTATAAGCAGTATTTGCTTCATTGCAGTTAACGCAGTTGCACGTACTATTTTCGCATTGATATGATCGAATAAACTTGCTACCATGCCACAGTTTATACCCAATCTAAAATCCTGTTATGTTATTCTTTTAACCTGATCTCATTAACTTCGTGTATTCGTTCTACTATATTACGCTGTTTTAACGATTGGCTATCCAGTTAAAAAATTTTCGCTCCCTATTAGAATGTCCTAGTAACCTCCAATTAACCCCCCTAACTGACTGCATGTATCCTTCTACTTGAAGAAATAACTTGGCTCGATTTGAAAATTACCAATATCAAATTTAAGCTCAGTTTAATCTACTTATACATGTAAAGTTAAATTACGACCGTACATGCTCCGAGAATTTGAGCTCTTTCTTAAATTAAATCCTATACTTTTTACAGTTATTCTTTGCGTTAGAACGTTGCCGTGCTGTTGATAGCCTGTAATCTATTTAGTTCCTTCGTTCTAATTAATCTGATTTCCAACTTGCATGTCGACACGTTTCATTAGTTAAAAATAACTTCAGACGCTTTTAGATTTCACTAGCATATACGTATCTAAACTTGCATTTTCTATAGATCGAGAGAAAACAGTTTTTCGATATAATTTTTACTAAAATCGTTAATAAAAAAAATTAACTTGTCCAAGCTATCATTGTATCTCATGCGAAAAACAGACTCTTCCGGCAAGATCCTCCCCGCCGTTTACTTCACCTTATTAGCTCAGAAAAAAAACCTGTTCACAGCAATCTCCCCCCGGGGCGATCCAGGATCGGGAAAACAGACACACAAACGCAGTTTTAGTAACCTAATATATAGATGTTTTTAAAGAGGGAAGGAGAGGACGAGGAACTTACGTAAATATTCCCAATATAAGTTGATTTGCGTGGTAGCAGGCTCGATCACGCAGATTCCCGGCAGAAAAAATTGTTCAACTTGACAATCATCATCAGATCGCCGAATAACGTATTAGTCAGCTGTATTTATATGTCAACACAACGAAATTCATTATACGAGCTGGAAACTTTTGGAGAAGGCTTTAGAATGAAGGTTAAATAAGGACGATCACCTAATCATAACCTTATAGTGAACCTGCTCAACGGAATCTTCACCACCAGCAATTTATATTATTTTCTTTCGGCAGTGCAGGGTTGAGAGAAATTCGGTGTATTGAAGAAGGCCTCAAGATGACCTCGGTATCAGATTTCGCTTTCGGCCTGCTTCACAGGGGATCGCCCCAATCGCGAGACTGTTAATGCTGCTCATCTGGTTTGTGGCGACGAGTTCATTGCCCTGGGATAAGTCTGTAGTCACGCTTCGACTGGAATAATCTTATTAAAGGTTGTCTTGTTATACCACCGCACTAACTATCTCTTAGGTGGATGCGCATTCACCAACATCGAAAACGCATTGGATTTATCCTAGACGAATAGATGTTTGTGTATCGACTCCGATCTCTGCATGTAATCAAATTTTTGCTCTAACTAACTTTTAAAAACATAACTAAAACTGAGAAAAAATATCTATATTTAATTCAAAGGCTTACTTGCAGTTAATGCTCAGGGTTAGATCGCTATCTTGACACAGACGATGCTTCACCATTTAAAACAAATCTGTACATCTTTCCTTATGTAGCAAAGGGACGCGACGTCTTGAAGACTTCAACAAACGAAAATATTGCTACACAGACACTTTTAACACGACTGCAGCTTTAATAAACTAGTAGTGATCATTATCTGTTTACGCTTTTGGCAGGCGTATGTACAGGTTAAAAATAAAATTATATAGTAATAGTTTAAAATAAATATAATAAGATATGAAATCAAATCCCGGTAAACATAGGGAGGCTACGAGAGATGCTTTCGTTCGCCACGGCTACGTGTGTCGACAAATTAGCCTTGTCATTCAAGAGTTGATAAAAAGAATAAGCGAAATAACGCAAAGAGTCCCTAATTTTTTCATGGGATAGCATAAGAAGATGGACCTGAACTTCTTTACTCTACAGTGACACCAGCCTACGTATCTCCGACGAGAGAAGATCACCATAACGAAATAGAAAATGTAACGGCTAGTAATTCCTTCTGCTTCGTCTGCAACCCTACTGTGACTACACTACTCCATAACCAGATCTAGAGGAACCTGTCACAAGTGCCCTTATGGTTTCATGCTATCTAGTAGCATAATAACGCAATTATGTTTGAATGAGCAGTGTTTAAATGAAATGTCATTAGGCTGACGCAACTTACATGTTTTAATTTCTCGTCTGGTTAGGTATTCCATCAGAAGGCTTACAAAAGGAAGTGTGTCCATTCCCAGATACGAACCTAGACCACCGCGTGTTCCTCAAGATGGACGCAACCTGTATTCGGGTAGCGTCGGCGCGGAGCTATCAAGTGTCAACAAATATCTTCAGGTTCAACAGGCAACCCTCTAATCTTTAAATCTAATCAAATGTTTTTTCCGTCTATATCGAACCGCTACATGTACACCGCTGATCGTGTATATGACATACTCAATCGTTTCAAATAATGCCTTAATCGTTGCAACCTGGACTTGGGCAAGTTGTGCCGTTTGTATCAATCAATGAATTATCAATGTTTTGACTGACCTTTATAACTGCGAGGTTGATCAAGCTGAGAAGAATGTTATAATCTCTTGAAGGTACTGATATGCCTTCGTTGCGTTAAGGCCACTTCATTTTATCGTCAGTCGTGAGAATGTCAGCTGCTTTACGATTTTATTCGATGACTATCTTGCGCCAATCGTGGCACCTTCTTGTAATTGGAAACTTGCGTAATATATTTCGTGTACATGTCTAAATCTGAGCTTCCGACGTGCGCAAAAGACTGATGCATTGCACCAGCCTCAATGCCGCATCATCCACCACTAGACCTATAAGAGGTATTAAGTGGACAGTAAATATTAATTGCTATGGAAAGACATTTGTTTGCAGAAGGTGCCGAATGACAGACAGAGGTGCAATTTGCTAATCGAAAGATTCAAGGTGCTTCCAAAAGTAGCTAGTTGTCTTTAGAGGCTTGCATGCGTACAAAATATAAGTCATATGGCGCTTGCTAATAAGTAGATTCATTTCCTTTGAAGGATCGTCACTATTTACGTGACGCCGAATCACGTATGCCACTAGAACGGTCCTAGTCACATAAATGTTCCAAATTTTACGTCCGTTAGGTGTTGCTTCAAGCGGCTGGTTCTTAGCACGAAACGGAGTGTGTCTATGTTCGGATTAGCAGTTAAAGCGTTAGCTATAACAATGGCTTCAGTAATGCGAACATTCAATCGGCATCATTTGACCCAATGTCGAGCGCAGCATGAAAAATAAACTTAGAAGCCATTTTCTATATTATTATTCAGATTATTGTTATAAATAAATCTGTTACCGAAGTATACCTATCTGTAACGAGCCTGTACAGGGTTTCATGTCCCTCGATCTTCCGATACCCTTAGGCGCGAAAAACCCTGCCAATTGATCATGCTTAATCATTTCTAACCCATTTGCATTGAATTCCCAAAGCGTCCTTTTCTAAATAAGACTATAATCTTCGCTTCTCCTGCGCTGCATGAGCGTATCTGACGTGATAATTTGTCATAACAATAATAATGATACCCGGTTATTTGCCGGCGGCATACACTTCTAGGTCGTGCTTCCATAAAAAGTCCGACGGTCCACCGCAAACTAACAAAGTATACTCTGCCACCCTTCGGATCGTTGGAGAGGATCGCGATCCATGAATACTTTCAGGGGCTGCGTTGTAAACAAGCGGTCCTAAGCTTCAGCAGGACGGAATTGCCTTCGTTATACACCCTTTATCTTTGCTTGGATTTCAAATGATCCACCAAGTAGTCGATGTCATTTATGCTCATAGTTTCTCGGCCGTACATACTGAGGTCACGCGATTGTTGATCCCAGCTTTGCAACATTTTGCAGTTTGTCTGTAAACTACACGAGCGCGTCGTCGTTCATTGCAACATGAATGTCCATAAGAATAGTAAGGATAATTATGACAATAACGCCGATACTGAGGGCGGCAAACACTTTCGATCGTTTGCACTTGCTAACAACATCCGCCGCAACAACAACTGCGACAATTGCAAGAACAAAGGGAAGTGCCACGACATAATAAATGAGCCGGTACTCCCTTGAAGACGCGAGTTTGGTCGACCCTAATGTTTTTGCTTTTGCCTCGGACTCAGCCCCTTCTGCCTTCATAATGCGACACGCGAACTGGCGATTAGTTGATAAATACCTCGGTGAATGCGGGCTTGTATGTGCCTACCTGTACAAATCTGTAGCCGCGTTGCTAAAGCTTCCGTCTGTCTGTCTGTCTATCTATGAGCTAGCCCTGAGATTATCCTCGGATCACGGTTTCCTCATGAACTTGCAACCGGAATAATTTACGGGTGGCGTCGGTGGCATATCTTTACGTGATCTCTGTATTGATATCAGCCATCAGCAGTTAGATAAGAAAATTCAAAATCATTTGAATGACAAATTTTACAGGCCGAAGTCTGTTTAAACGACATGAACGAGAGAAAGTGCCAGTTACTCTTAGGCGGTTTCGTTCCGTCAGTACGACAATGAAAATTATAATGCAGCTTTATCGTGGTGGGTTGAATATACTCAAGTAATTATACGAGTTAGAGTTAGGGCTTCTAGAAACTGTCATGTCAGTATAGGACGTAGAATAGCTGCGTTTGTAAAATTTGGCAGAAGAGAAGGAAAATCGGATTTCTGTGGGTGTTTTGAAAGAAAAGCGAATGCACAATATTTTTCTTCCTGTCCAACAATTAATCGATCTTACGAAACGGTCCGAAATCAACTCTTACAAGCAACGCAGACAAACTTACCTAAATAATCGATCCTCATCAAAGCCTCTAATCCTAGAACATACGCAGACAAGTACTATTAGATACCGGTAATAGATATGGAAATAGAGACTCGGAAGCTAATCAAACCGAACAATATGATACAAACAGAGCTGAATTTTCATACAGCCAGAGCTACTTTTTTCTAGTGAAATGTCGCTTTACGGCTGATGTATGCAAATCGCTATACGGCACTCAATAGAGTGTAAAGAGAAATAAACGAATGAATGTTTAATTCAGAATCAATAAAACCCCCGACTGTTTTATTTCATCGACCCTGATAGTAATAGAGTTGCCTTAAAAAAAGACCTAAAAGATGCTAATGGCGTAATTACTGCTGTGGCTTAGCCAGTTAAGAGACGGCACGTTGATGCTAGGTCCGAGCCCTTGGCAGTTCGGATCCTTGAACATGGAAGTATACGCAGCATGTATGTCAAAAGAGCAAGTTAAAACGTTGGCATATTTGAGTTGCCCACATCGTCTATAGCGCCATTTTGTTTACACGTTCAGAACGCTCTAATTGATAAATTAAGAAATACTTCGAATAATAATAGTTCGTCATTCTTAGTGAAATCAATCTTTGATTTTAGTTTTTCGAAATGGACTCCATTGAAAATGAAAGCGAATTACTGGCATGAACTCCTAGCGAAGGGCTATATTTTAAATATTTGATACACAAGCTAAGACAAAAAAAAAAGCAATGCTAACTGGTGAAATTTTTCGAGAAAGAAAGGGATAGTATTCCAGGTTTTTGGTAATTCTTGCTGGACGTGAGGAAAATAAGTTAGGATAAGTTTAGAGATAGTTGGAATTTATGTACCCAAAGTGTATCAACAAGAACTTGAAGTGAGCTTTAAAGTGGAGCCAAAAGGGGTAGAGGGAAATAGCTCGTAGGATATTATTTTGCATATAATATAGAAAAAGATTCGTGACAGCTGGTAGAGTTTCAGCCTGGAAGGTCTTGCGCCTTTTATTTTGATGATTTTTCCAATGCTTTTTCAACGAAGTGTTTTGTTGGTTTTTAGGGCGGGTTTTAACTTATTTAGTTTATTCATTTAGTCGCAAAGAATATTTGAATGCTATATATTGGAAAGTGGTTTGTCGGTTAAACTTTACAAAAAAGACTTTATGGACTGATAGGGGATTATCTATAATGGGAGGACGGAGTAACTGGTTTAAAATATTTGGACAACTGGAACAAAGTAATGATAACTACAACAGAAGTTTTATGTGATTAATCACTGAAATAGGGTTATTTGTGCCAAAATGACATAGTCGCTGAGGCAATGTAATCTCACGTACATCAAGACAATATAATGGCTGGACCAATTACTGGAAAATAAAATTACAGTCATGGACTAAGTGCAACAGAATGTTTGTTCGAGAGTAACGCCAATCAAATTCGTTGATACTGTGACAAATGAAATTTGTACGCAGGCATAATGAAAATGCTTGTACATCTAACACGAAGTATCATAGTACAAGCTGCATTTTCTCGTAACAAAAAAATACAGGTAGATAATATGCATAATATTAAAATACTAAAAAATGTCACTAGCTCATTTGACGGGTCACTTAAGCAACGATTGGCCTGTGGAATAAAGGCGAAGCTAAGGCATCCCATATTAAATTTATTAAAATGTATTAATTATATATTAAAAATATTTTTAATTTATTGCAATAGTAAAAGGACATATGAATATTATTAAAGGATTTGTACAGGTCCTGCCTGTGTCGGGACTTTTACATCATATAATAATAACAATAGAGTATCCTAAGCATTTGTTTTCAGGAAATTAAACATTTATAATATCTGAAAACAAAGTAGTTGTCGAAGCCAATAAAGTCAAGCAACAACTATACATATTGCATTCGTTGTGCATGAATATCTGTACAAGTTGGCATAAAAATTCCCTTACCATTTTTAACAAAACATCGCTACAGTTATTACTTTTAAATTCTAGTTTTTTTATTTTTTCAGCACGTCCCCCGCAGTGGTATCGTTAATGTTCCCGGCGGACTTGATTCTATCGCTACGACATTGTGGCAGCTCTTATCGACTCTTCAAGCGGCTTCCATTCTAAATTGCCTTCCTTAATAAAAAGTTCATGTGGAAGACTGTCAAGATAGGCCACGTTACGGCGAACATAGTGAACAAGTGTCCGTATCTGTTTGAAATCCTGCAGGTCCGGATCACATGTAAGCAGGACACGCCATAACGATCCCGCTAATGCCTGATCGTCCCTGTTCAGACCCTGAAATTAATGAGAAACAGATGCAAATCAGAATAACAAAAACGTATACGATAGTTAAATGCAAGCAAAGTTTAGTAAGCCTATTGTTAAACTTATTGTCAAATATGTCTTTTATATTCAATAACAGAGTCCCTTGTAGTCGTAACGAACGCGCAGCTTCTAAGACTACCTCATTCCAGTTGCCTCCCAAGTGGATGTCATAGTTTCTATTTTGTTAAAAATACTATATCTATTTCCATAGTAAATCCCAATAGGGAACACATATGTACACAGAGTGAGGCAAGAGTTACTTGACTCATATACATGTATTACTACTTTTACTAAACAAGCAGAATGTGTCATAACAATATTATTAAACGATTATACGCCATAAGACCAACTGACCAATAAGCACCATATCATTGCAGTTTCAATGTCATATGGTTCGAAAAAAACGTATCAGGTTTGGGGATTGTCTTACCTCATCGTAGATGCAGAGTGCAGCATAGAAGTGTTCACTAAGGTCGTTTACACACTGGTTCTTGATGGATGCCGAAATTCTCTGCAAAAAAAGGTTATCGTGGGCCGAACAAAAAAGGAGTATTTCTGAAAATCTTGAACTGGTCATGAGCACTGTCACCGATAACAAGTATTATACAGGAAAATCGGCAACGATCATGGACGAGCTAAATCGTACCTCTATTTGCAATTGCCATGATACGAACTAACAATCCGCCTTTTGTTTTAAAGTAAAATAAAGCTGCGTATTTCGGTACACAAAAAAGTTAAGACAGTTTTTTAATAATAAAATTGTATAAGGTCAAAAGGAACTTAAATAGTGCTCATTCAAAAAAGTTCAGAAACTTCCGACACCAACAAATAGAGGGTGTCAAATGCTGAATGATCACTGTGCAAAATCAGCAAACGTACCGCCAGTTTCTTTAATCGGACATCCGAATCTCGCCAAAGATTTTTCACAATTTCATTTCGGAGGTAACTACCGCGATAGCTATTTGTGTCCGCCATAGCTCTTATTAACGTCATCCTGAAAAAAATTAAGACAAAAATGTGTCAATTGAACTCCGCCAAAGTTCGCTAATCCGTTTTTACTTTTTATGTTGCTGGTTAAATAAGCCTTCGCCCTTGGAACAACCCTCGAATGCCAAATGGAATCCCCTGTGCATTCTAGCTCCCGAGTCTCTTGGAGTCTACGACTGAAATCATAGGGTGCCGATGCTACAGGGCCAAGTGTGCCTCCCTGCGTATGTGTATGCTATTAATTCAAACGATTAGCCGACACGATACTTTTACATGGTTAGATGTTCCATTTTTTGAAAGAAGCCTACCCGTCCTTTTTTGTATCAGGATGCATTTAGCTTGATTGATTCTAAGACTAGATGAACATTGATTCATTTTGAGATATTATAGATGATATACATAACAGAATTTGGTGAAGGACAACTGTAAATATAGTTTTTTCTTTTTCATATTTAATCATCTGAAGCGGCAGGCACTGCGAAATCTAAAAAACAGCCCAAACGATAAAAGTTAAATATTTCGTTTTTGTTGTAAAAAGTAGTACCGTTCTAATAAGATCAGCTTTTATTTGTATTGCATAGAGATAAACTGACGCGAAGCCACTCATATTTCCATACTCACTGAAGTATTTATATCGGTAGCAGTAAATAAACATTTAAACATAAACATCATTAGCACCCTTCCCTGAAAAAACCATTTCATCAGTGATGCTCTTGTCTTATTTGTATACTTTGTATTCCTTTTCATACCATACATGCAGCTCCGTGACGTAAAACCACGACAGAAATGTGTCCTGTAGCTTGAAATCTGGAAGAAAATCAGAAGTGTAAGTCAAGAACGAGTTATAGGACTTATGCGGGTACTTGGTGCTGATGTGGCTGCCCCCTTGTAGCTGGGAACAAAAGCGAACTTAATATACTGTTATACTCTTTTTGTGTACATTATATCAGTAGCAATTAGTAGTAAAAGAATAGCTAAAAGTGAGTTAATCTAGAGATTAAGTTCAAGCAAAGTGAAATACGGTATGAAAGCACGTACCGAGAAGAAGTCAACTTATTAACATACAGATGCCACAAGCCATTTCCACTTAATAAACGAATCAAGTTAGTTAATTCAACAAAAAAACAAACGCGGGGGAGCATTGCGGGTCGCATCTACTAATCTGAAAATTTACCGTTAAAAGAAAAGCCTTGAGAAACTATAATTAGGTTTCAAAGATAGCCGTTGAATAAATTACATTAGAGACAGTGCGCGACTAGAAAGGCTTAAGATTTCCTAAAATATTATGTATTTTATTTCTATAAGTGACCTATCATCCCAAGCACTGGATCGATAAACTTTTTTTATGCTTGTTAAGCTTTGCACCCAACATTTTGCGGCGCTTGATTAACCTGCGGAGCTCCCTTCAAATGAAACGTATATCAGTAAAGCAGAAATCAAATTTATTTTTAAGTTAATTTAAGGTAATTTTAATTTAACACAGCTGTAAACAAGCAGCAATTGGACACTCACGTTTGAACCATAACTCTATGTTGACTTTATCTACGGTCGCCTCATAGATGAATATGCTTCCTTCCGTTAGTAGCTGCAATAAAAAATGCCATCCCTAGCAAGTTTCGTTTGTACAGAATAAGTAGACATTATAAAAAGAACAAATCTTACAAAAATTTGTTAAATTTTTAACAAAAATAATTGGATCGTATGATGTAACGAGCGATTTCGACGATCAATGGAACAAAATCAATGTTAACAAAGCAAACAGCGTTTTGCTTTCTAATTTACTAAGGAGTGGGTTTATCACTTCCCTAAGAAAACTAGCTTTCTATACCCCTTACTGCAAGGACCTGGTTTATATAAAATGTAACAAGTTAAGTTCGACTTACGTTGATTTCACAATAAAAACCATCTTGATGAACTCACCGGCTGTTCTTTAAATGCAAATCTGAGTTTATGCTTTATTCTGTCCTTCAGTGGAAGTTTAGCGCCTGACAAGGACGACATCTGCCGACAAGCGACTGATAGAGCGCCTCGAGCAAAAAACATCACTGCAACGTGAAGCAGGTTTAGCGACAGTCCCAAAGCAACAATCACCTGTTGAAAAAAATAATCAAAATATTGGTCTCACATGTGCAGAAACTATTGCAATGAAATTGCAGTGACGAACTTTATATTTATATATATAAAAGCCTAATCAAATCATTCCAGTCTTCGAGGCTAGTTACACGGGATTAAAGCAAGACATTTTCAAGCAGTTTTGTATTTCAGTAATCGCAAACGTGATACCTTGGTGTAATTGGACTTCACCCGCTCCAGCATTGATTTTACGTGCTAATATCCCGTACTATGTACAACCAACGGGTTCTATCTCGACATCTAACACAGCTGTTAATTTGTCATCGCTAAACAACTAAGTGATGGAGCACAACTGGTTTAAGTGATTTCTGTTGATTTTATAAAGTGTCGAAATAGAAGGGAAAACGGATACAACCGAGGAGGTGAAAACACTGATTAGCAGATTACTGTATCGACGCAGTACAGCTACGCATTGTGATACTAATGAAATGTTTCATGATTCCCATCATGCAGTCGCCAACGCGGTTAGGACGATGAGGAAGAATATCCCGCGGTCATCGCATAAAATCGGTAACAAGTATCGAAAAAGGTGTGTAGCAAGAAAACTGTGTGATTACTCACGAACTTCAAAAAAAAGTTAATTTCCTATATTTCTGTAGCAGCTAAAAGAGCATGGACGCTTCGCTATTAACTCGAAGATGCTGGCTTTGAGGATCATCAATCTGTCAGAGAATTGTACTTCTACAGAACATGCTGGTCCTCATTGGGTAAACCATGTAGAAAATTGGGTCGTCGAGAATCGGAAAAAGTCTGTTTCGTAGATGCACCTTATCTTGAAACGCCCATCATGCCTTCAGAGATGTTTGCAAACGATCCGATTTCTGCCGAAAGTTAAACATTTATCAAAAGGTTATGATGTGGTCTATGATTGCTGACGATTCGCACAGAGAATACTAAAGCAGCAGAATTATGCTGAGATTATCGAAAGAAAGATGTTGCCTCAGGCGGTCGCTACGTCTTTTCGCACGATACGGCACCTTGTTAGAGGGCTTGCTGTATATCTAGGCAATTTATTGCCTATGTTTTGTGGCTCCCGTGGCCTGCTTATTCGGCATAGCTCAATCCCACAGAGAAATTCTGGAGAATCGTAATATCGCAGATTCGGGAAAAAAGGGAAATAACAAATGCTCCAAATTTCCGTGAAAAGTCACTAATCTGTAACAAGAGGGTCCACTCATAGCTGCGACAGCGAAACACTGCATCGGAAGTTTGTCTTGAAGAGTGGCGGCGCTTATCGATGCAAGAAGCAAGCGCTCCGTGGAGGGATTCATCAGCAGCTTGCATGGTTTCCTTATCGACATGTTGTGGGGCGCGCGTGTACAGTAGGATAAAGCGGCTTTCCTAAGCCAAAAAAAAAAAACTTGAGAATGTCTCGCTTTGACTCTGCACAATCGGCCATTGAAACATGAAAATATTTGTTTGATCACCGACTGTAACTAACTAGGTAAAGGCATTACTCAAGGCATATTATACACAACAAACCATGCAGCTCCATCGCTTCGTACAAGATGTTTTGTGCTAGATCTATAAATTTATAGGAAACCTTCCAATCAGGAGATACGAACGTGTCGAACATGTCTAAATACATAGGTACGACGTTGTATATTCCAACATTATCAACAAGTCAACATAGTTGACTTAAGTTCTCTGTTGCAAAAGGCAGTCATTACATCTCAGAGGGAACACACACCGCTGGCGCTGTTAACAGATCGTCAATGGACGCTGAAATGGATAGTCACTCGCTCTTGGATCCCCAGAGGCATACCGCTTCATTTTCCAATGGCTGTTGAAATAATTAAAACTGGTGTTGTCGACACGACTTGGAACCAGGCGTACAACGCTTCTGTGTTGGGAAAACAATTTTTTTGCTAAGCCAAGATCATAATCCTGGGTTATCTAGTGTGCTCTAATGACTAGCTGATTATGTGAAAGGTAATAGAAATGCCACTCAATCAAAATCTACCTGTTATCGCTATTCGCCATGTCCTGCATATCCCGCCACATCACATGTGTATGTTACACGATCCGTATGATGGCGGCAAGATAGAAATATATACCCACCCAAGTTTTTCATATTGTCCGCATTTTGCTATATTTTGAAATCGTACTATCGTTGTATTTATCTGAAATCTTTAAATACCTTCTAATTTTAAAAAAAATTTGAAAAAGTTCTTCGAGAAGCGCACTGAATAAAGGTACCATCTCTAGATAAAATATTTACTTAGTAACGAGACATATATTGCACACCCGATAGAGCTCGTGTTAATCAATTGTAGTCTGGTTTGAAGTTTCTATAGTAGGAAACACAGTTTAAGTCAAATAGGGTAGTAACAGCATGACAAGTAGGATTAAATAATGAAATAAAAAATAAACTATAGTCGATTGCTTATTGCATAAGCACGTATCCTTCCGAAGGTTTTTTATAACATGCATGAGGCATAATACATCATGATAAATTCGTGAGTATGCAGGACTCATCCCAGATCAAAACAAAAACGAAACGCTTCTCTAGCTATACAGTCAAAGGGAGAAAGCGCCTGTCCTTTTTTAACTTGCTCCAGTGCAATCTAGTCCATTTGTTTAAATTGCACAAACCGTATCTAAACTTCACGTTGTTTTACGGATGTACTGCTGACTGTACGTTGGTCTCATACGAGCAACCTTCGTAATGGCTAAAGTTACTTGCCACCTTCCAAGAAAAACGTAAAGTTACATGTTGCAGACAAGCGAATTTTGACCCGTGCACTAAAGGGCACAAGTAGTACGACACGAACACATTCTACAACCATAACAACAACACGTTTTTCGCTTGCTAGCGCACTCTACCGTTCTCCTTGGTTTTAGCCTGCGCTAATTTCATGCGCGACGATAATAACACCACCGACACTATGTACCCGTAGTAACTCAAACTTGTCCGGGACTGGCGTTTACTTCGAGTCGGCCTCGCTTAACCTGATTCAAACTGTTTATTAATTCATAAAACCCAACATTATGCTAACGTAGTGCACCCTTCATAGCCAATGAAACAACGTCGTTTGTATTTCCCGGCATCATGTCGTCTGCTAGCACTAGCAGCTACTGTTTTGTTTAGTGATGACAAACAGGCGAGTGGCTTTCTCTATCGACGAAATCAACGTTTCCGTAATAACTGCTTATAATTGCAGGCAGAATTTCGTATCCGAATATATCTATAGCCAAAAAATTAATATATAGGCCGCAAATTAAAAACAGCAATCTGCCCAAACCCCTGTATGTTTTTGATGCCGTCAATATGATTTAGAAACGCAGCTTACAGCATTACAATAACAGGTAAGGACTATGATCATCGCCGAAATAACGATAAAGATATCAAGTAAATGAATTCGCGCAGCTACTATTATCATTACCTAGTAGGAACAAGAAAAGGGAGAGGTATCACGAAGGAGAGGACTACTCCATTAACCAAGTGAAGTGTCTATGTCTGGATTCGAACCTAGACCACCGCGTATCCCAGCAGGCAAATTATCGCATTAAACCGAGGTAAACTATCAAGGGAAGCGTATTTCTAACCACGGATTGCACGTCTGTACTTTGGTCCCTCTATCTGCACTAATTCTTGCTTCTCGTAAACTTGCAAATTTCCCGTTGCCGCGGCAGCCTCTCTGCCGTCACCCTTCTCTACGAATATCACCAGCAATAGTTCAAACGATAGAGCAGAGCGTAAGACGGTCGATGCAGTATCTACAACAATAACAACATTAGTTAAAGGCTGACTACTCGCTGGCGCCTGCAACTGCAGCTGGCTACAACCACAACTACTCCGTGAGCTGATATGGTACAGCGGTTATTTGGGGAGAAGTTGGACAGGGTGGGAGTGGAATTAAGCAAAAAAGCAATCGAACCAGTATAGAAATAGGAATCTTTTCGTGCTGCATCCGCGAACATCTCCGATAAACGGGGAGTCTGGAGCTACTTTTCGCTTTACGTACTCATCTTTGGCCTTTTATACATTATTGTGTTGATCTCGTTTGTTGATCACCATAATCATCACGGGCTGCTGCTGCTGTTGTTTATGTGAGTCGAGCTGGTTTGGCCTTGTTGATGTCGTTGCCTGCTGGGCACCAACGAGTAGTTTTCCCATTTGGTTAACGCGGATGCTATAGTAGGGTCGCTGGTTGGGTAGGCGACCAAAACGCAGCCCCCAAATAGTTTATATGCAACTCACAATGGTGGAGAAGAACGTCGAACAAAGGATACAGATAAAATAAGCGAAAGTTGTTATCATTTGTTGCTGCGCTGGATGTCTGTCCATCGATAACTTTCGGAAGCTATCACTCCGTCCTGTTCGAGCTGCTGTTTTACTCTATTGACTTTTCACGGTGCTCGTAGACCCCTGAATCTCTTATGATCCTCGATATAAAAACGTGTTGACCTGTTAATGGAGTGGAGTTCAGCTGCTGTTTCTGATAAAGACATTGGAGTGCCCATTGCTATTACTACCGGTTTACAGTAATGGCTGCCGTGCTGTGATAAGTAATATTGGGGTTGTTCCGTTGAGGCCGTTTGAGCTGTTGCTTCTTCCGCTAATGTCGACGGCGCTTACCAGTAGTCGTCGCTGTCGACGCCATCGGCGCTGTTCTTGCTGATACTGCGTTGCGTTACGCTGCGCTGCGGGCAGAAGAAGCCGATCGCGCTGGTCAACGCGCCGTTCTCAGTGTTGCGGTCGTTGTTACTGGTGCTATAGTGTGAGCGTCTCGATCACCACAGATGTTATGTCGCTGGCGTTCGTAACAGTGCGTACTAGCTCACTGACTTACTGAGTGAGCGGCTGGGTGGCTGACTGGTTAATCCCCATTTTGTTCGTAGTCGCCAAAACATCGTTGCCACTGCTGCTGGCGGCCAGAGCTGTCGCCTTCCTGCTTCTAGCGACAGCTGTCGCCTTCGCCAGTACCAGCAGTCCTAGTGCCACTACCGATTGACCTCTTATTTTTACCAGAGGTGGCCCTTGTTCTGGGGCCCTTGAATTTGTCGTCGTCATAGTGGCCAACGTTGAGTTTACAGCTGCCGCTGATCTGCGCTATTAGTCGCCTGACGTTAGCAGTTGTTGATTACGATGAGAAAGCGCTGGTCATATCGTCGCCGTTGGTGGTTTTTGTAGAGTGCGTTGAATGGAAGTGCGTTTTTGTCGTCGTCGACTGTGGTTAGACGCGGCTATTGTTATTTACAGTGTGCAAGGCCAAGTGGAGGTCACCAAAGAATCGATCAGGGGTCGCTTGCTTTGCGAGATTAGCAAGGAAACATTCGATAGGAAAGAAGATAATTCGCTTGTAGTTGTTGTTAAAATTCTATGAACAAGTAAAATTTTCCCCTGGTAGTGTTGTAGGAATTTTGAAGAGATCAGTTTTACTTCGTCGTAAGCAGTCGAGACAGCCGACAAGCACATACGCAGCAAAGATATTGAGAAGGAACTGAGTAAAGGATAAAGGAAACATGGAATAAATTGACAACGATAAACCAGAAAATAGAGGGAAAGCTGCGTGTTCCAAAAAATCAGGATATTGTGTAAATGAACAATTCTTGTCAGATCATACCTACTTGTAAAGTGTGTGAAGCTGCTATCAGAGGTGGACGAGTGTGCGAAGACGGCATGCAAACCAAGCCAAAGCTCCGAGACCTCATTACTAAAACTAACAACAATACCAACGACAGCTAAGACATCATCACCGACATATAAGCCGATTTACTACCTGTTAAAAGGCGACGGAACAACGACTCATAGACCCACGGTATAATATGGTCGCGGTTGACAACAGCAGCCATTACCACAGTAGCGGGCCACAGAAGACTGGTGGGGCCGTAGTTGTGGACGGCCGTTCATTCAGTAGTATAGATACTGTTCACGTCCAGGTAGGACAGAACAAGCTCACCAGTAGCTGCTCATTCTAGGAAGAACCCCACAACCCGCTGGGGGGGGGGGGGGGGATAAACGTTTGTGAAAACGGCAGCCGTATAGGTGATACCTAGCGGTGGCGGTGTGCCCTAGGTGCACCCCACAGTAACATGCTCGGGAGTTACGTCGTAGGCGTTCGCGCCTCACCAGGGCCCCGCCGCGATCAGGCAAAACGCCTGTCAGCTTACTACCCACGAAAGCAACAACGAGAGCAATTCAAGCCGGCTCTTCTTGTTCCCCAACCATCAGTATTACTGTTGCGATCCTCGCAGCCATCGAGCAAAGCAAAATTGACTCAGCAGAAGCAGAATCTTGCTGGAACAGCCGTCGTAAAGTTTCTTCCGCCTTTCGTTCGTGTCACAACAGCAGCCGCCGTCTGAAGAGAGTTCAGCAATAACGAGACTGTGTTTATTATCATCGATATTGATTTGTATTGTATGAATTTTCTCCGCGGGCTGCCTCTTTCCGTTAGTGTTCGCAAACGACGCGCTCGTCACCGACGTCGCATGGCGACAGACCGTCCTCTTGCCATTATTCGCTGCCTGTGCATCTAATCAACGGGATACTGCAGTCCGAATATTGACGACGACAACAACAACAGCAAAGAGAGGCTGTCGTCCATATAGGCCCTTAACAAGAATATAACGGATCTTCAGCACCTGTTCTTGCTGTTTATTTGGATCAGCTGTGCTGTGCGTATATTGTGTGTGAAAGCTGCAGCCACTATAGCTGGTGCAGCCTTGCTGATACGTCCCCGTAACAGCAGCTGAACGTCGTATGGACACGCGCATACTCAGTGGACGTCGAGAAGGCTACAATTGGAAATACACAAAAACAAGCTAGAAACACATCGACCAGCAACCTTTTTTCAGTCGTATCAATTTCTCCTAAGGATTTTTCTGGTTTTATGTTACATTAGTTTGATCTACGCGTCGCCATCTCAGTAGGGCCTCACGCTGGTAACAGCCGAATGCCAACGTTGCATTCGCGTTCGACTTACGACGTAATTTCGTCCATTCGCTGCGTCCAGGTACGTAGAATTGGTAGGCAAGCAGTTGATTGCATCTGTGGTGAACATACGAGCGAGTAAGTGGACAGGTTCATGCAGGCCATCACATCGAGTCTGTGCTATAGCGACAGAGTACATTTGTGATGTTCGGCAGAATCATCCGTAATACATGGAATACAGAGTAATCAGCTGGCCAGCCGCCAGCAAGCTAACTGCTATGAAGGGGGAGGGGGTCAAGCGACACGAAAGAATGAAATCGTACCTAAGAATGGTTACTTATTGTATAACTAACCATTCGTCCAGTAGTGCTACCGCTCAAAGGCGTACTGGATGAAAGCTAAGGTGAAACGAGACAGGACGATACCTTTGAGTAGGTTACTAGATTTCGAAAATTTGTTTCAAAGAAAATCTCGCATGCAAACGAAACTGTGTTTGACTTGTGGCATAACGGTGTTGCTTGGCTTATTTTGCAAATCTGTAGTTGGGTAAGGTTCGCTGCGATGGATGTCAGCAGCTCACCGAAAACGCCTTGTTATCTTTATTGTACGGAAAATTTTCAATGCTAAAATTAGCGACAGATGCTGATGTTGCTGTTGTTGATGGTTTTGTCATACTTGATTGGATTGTTGGTATGGCGGCCATTATATGTGAATGTTGAGAACATTTTTTTCTATTTATAGGTATATGATATCTCGTGTCTTGCTGTTCGTCTATATATTTACGTGTTATCTCCGAATATCTTATCTGCTTTAATGTTCCCACAGTGTTGACCGACAATGAAGCAGACGCATCGTACTAACAAACGAATCGATACAGGTCGTATGAACCGCTTTACAGGCGAATCGCTATGCGTAAGCGATATACGAGTAGTCAAAATAATACAATTTCTTGTGTATATATTGAGGCTTGAGTGAGCATTTTGAATTCTATCAGTGATTCTTCCGTTCGTAATGTTTTTTTTTAATATTAACGAGACCATTTCGTGGTATAAAGCGATTTTTTTCTCGTTTTCGTCAACCGTACGCGCGAACTGCTATCGAGCAAGCTGTCTAGCAATGAACGGAACTGGTTCAGTGGGGCTCAGTGATATTGCCTATGACTACTTCATCATCAGTTTGGTTTAAGGTTGCTAATTGACATGTAGTCGACCTAACTGGTCCGGATCAGTTCATGATCAAAACTATTTTGTCTATGTCGCATTGTAATGGCGTTGCAACTGGCGGGTGGAACGCGCCTACTTCTAGACGTAATGGGTCGAGAAAGAACACAATAGCAGCTGGTATTGAGCGCTGTTCCCTTGCTAATCGCTGGGTTTATTACTTCTCTATCTATAAGTACTTGTTGTGGGGGTGTTTGAGGTCCTATAGGCAAACTGATAAAATTGCTTCTATATGTAGATGACTGCGAGCTGTAACATGTTTTCCCTCCACACTGTGTGTTTGACTTTCCTTAAGCGATAACCTCATTATTCATCAAGTAGAAGCATAAACTCAAACCAGCATTTCTTGTTAGATAATGAGCTAGCTAGCTAGCTCAGTTGGACCATGCCTTGCGCGATTCCTTGTTCTTCCTTAGCTTTATCGAAGACTCCTGCTCCCATGCTTGAATCCGACCCACTCTGTTTGGGCTGCATACACATACGTGGAAAGCAGACAATGGGAGACACCGTACTTAGACGAGAAATAACCAGCTACAAGCTGCTGAAAACCCGTTTACATATAATAATAATGCTATTGCGTGCACGAAATCTAAAGGACGAGAGCTATAAGCCCGCGAAAAGGATACAACAGTGTTAAAAGGCATTTTAAATTTGTCAACGGGTGCCTTTACTAACCAGTTGCTCGAGCTAGAGCGCATATAGGATTTATAAAGATCAACATTAAGGGAACGTACCTACGTTATTGATATGGGGCTCCCGATAACGGTAAACGTACCTCCCCTGTTATTTCTTTCCCTGTTCATTTTTCGCTGCTCTTCGCGACAAGACGTCATTAGCGCTGCAAAACAGTCTCGTTGTTGCCAGAGCCACTATTATATTAATGCCGAAACAGACGAGAAACGATCTCTACGGTGGATACATGACATGCAAGCGTCGAAAATATTGCCAAACACCGTCATATACTTCGTGCTGTTAAGCTCGCCACCAATATTACCGACGGCAACTGTAGCAGCAGCTGGAGCAGGACTTCCGCTGTACACGGATCGTACTAACAGTTTGGGGGGCGACCAGCAGACAATTATAGTTGTTCATTCTTCGTCGCGTCTTTTTATCCGTTTGCTCGTATTCTATACAATTTCGTTATTTTAGTGCTACCGTTGTCTCTTCTATTGACATGGACAAAGGCCCCCCGCTGCGTAGGAAACCAGGTAAGTCTTCCCATATGCTCGCTTCCGAATACTGCTATAATGCCACTATTGCCGCAGCTAGTAACTACGTCATAGAGAGCGTTGCTACAACGGAGCATTGCTTACAGCCGATCAGTTAGCCAGTCGGTCAGCCAGCCTGCCTGCCTAGCATTACGTTTGCCGTCGCGTTCCCGCTCTCTTTCATCTCAAGGGCGAAACGTAGTAGCACTAGCCAGTTTAATAACAACGCTCTGCTGGTCGTCAACTTAAACACTTCTAAGCGAAACGTTTTATGCACGTAACAACTAACAACGCTGGTGATAATGATGATGATGACGACGATAGCGGCAATGGTCTCTGATTGTAGTGATGATAATGATGATTATCCTGCTGATGCTGCTGAGAGTAGAATGAGGTGCATTTGTGCGGGCGAACGAACATTTAAGCTAGTAAGGAGAAGCTGGCTGAGCTGCTTTAATGGAGAAAGCGAGCGAGGATGAAGCTATGGCTTGGCTGTCTGGCTGGCTAGGTTGTGGGCATCGTGTATTACGATGATATAGTGCAGATGTGGGTAGTGATTAATGGGTACCTTGCTGTTTGTACGATGTGTACGATCGACATGGATACATGTGTTTGTTCGGCGGGTTTGATTACCCGCCAATGTCTGACTTCATACGGATGTTTCTTTATGGACGATCATTAAGAAGCAGAGGGAGTATCGTAGAGGATTGGGGTAAGCGAATCAAGTAGAAACGTTAGAGAAGAAAACTTTTTTTTGTTGAATTAAAAATTGGTTATTGTGCGTTTTGGACATTTTTGAGCGATCGTGATTATGACCTGTCTTTTTAGTCTAGTATAATGTAGAGGATACAATGAATTAAATAAGATTAATTGATAACATTTAAAAAAGTCAATAGGGCTTCTTACTTGCGGTTAACAAACAGGCAATGCTTCGATTATGTTACTGTGATCCCTTGTTATACGCAGATAGATGTAGACTTCTCATGCGAATGCATATTTCTACAGGCGATTATTTGTGCAGTATTTAGTCTGTATCGGCTTGTCGCTTGACTGGCGGCTGCAAGATACCGGAGCATGAACAAGATTGATCGGCAACAGCGTTACTTTATAAATGGGTCTTAGATCATTTCGAATACGGCGTTGAAAATCGGCGGGAAATGTATTTATTTTTTCTATCTTAAAAATTCGACTTCTCTTCTGTCAACTGCCATTATAACCGCCAGCTTTACCCATGTATGTATGACTCTTAGTATGCGTTGCTCTGGTATAGGGGAAATGCGATGTAACCGAACAGAAACAAAGCTTTGGACGTTCTTCATGGTTGAATAGACCAGCATTCAATCAAAGCGAATAGAAATATATTGATATAAAAAGAATATATATATATATATATCGTAAACATTGTTAAGTATGAGCCAGCACTTCAATGCCACGATGTCACGCTCAGGCAAAAAATTCGAACCAATATTGGAACATTACGCTTCGAGAGAGTGTTGTTAAACCCTGGTCAGCAAAACAGCTGCCCTGGGCTAATCACTTTAAAGTTAAAAAGGACAAAACGACCGCTAACGGAGCGACTTCTGCAGTATTCTTATTAGCTAGGCATGTTCGATAAAGCATTCTGCGTCAATCGCATCAACTTCAATCCCAACGACGACATATATTGTACTATTCGCTTCCGAGCGCAATCACCAACCCACAAAAATGACAAGCTTTTTTTCGTACTTTGCTGACGCCACACACAACGATCCGAATCTTCTATAGTTGATAAACCATGTCTATCATCACTGACGCGTATAACGACAGCTATTCATTTGTGTCATGTTGAGGGATCTTCGGCGCAGTCAGAAGTCAACGGAACTTTTCCCGGCAGATTCCTACATACGATTATTTTTGACGTTGTCATCAGATCGGCGTGTGCTTTGCTACGCTGTCTTCGCTCTCAAGAGCTGCAAAGTCGTTACATTTTTTTTAATTGTTCAATTTTTTACCATATCAGCTTTTGGCTCGCTTTGTTCGTGATTTTTGGTGGGAATCGATACTCCACTGGCTGGCGCTGCTGTTGATGCTGCCGCTGCCCTTCGTGCTGGCTAGTGACTAGTTCTCAAAGACGAAAAAGCACCGAGATGCTATAAAAGAGCGCACATCATCTACATAATGTGTCGCAGGGCCGGCGGCGGCGGCCACGTAAACTGGTATAGTGCGCGCTTTTTTCGGCGGATAAGTGAGGGGATGAATAACGAGTGACAGTGGACCAGAGATTTGAGTTTTTGGCGGCAGAAGGCATTGATGAATCGTGGGCGTCGTTTGATGTGGCAATGAATCTCCTGAGGAAACAATGCTCAGTCATTCACGGTTCGGTAACGGTGCCGCGCACCGCAGGTAGAACAGTAGCGCGGGCGGAGTCCTTGTCGCGCGAATATGTTGTATTTGCTACTGCTGGCGGGCGAAAAGGTTAGCAGGTAAGTTCTCTATAAATGTTTATGAAGATACACAGCCCTAATAGTCTCCTTTTTTACCAGCAAATACACAGCGATAGCAGTATTGTTTCATGTGTAAATTTGCTGGTAAGATACAATTAATGAATTTGTTAAAAATATCAGATGATAAAGGACACGATCACGCCGTTATTAATATCGGTGTCCTCCAGTGGTACCGCAGACTTCCTACTGTAATCAATCGCTAGCTTCACTTCGATTGGCTAACTAAAGGCAAAACACAAAACTGTAATAACGTCTTCTTTTAGAACTTACAAGCTTTCCTCACGTTCCTGACCATAAATAACTAGACACGTTACTGATTACGTAACGGGCTACTCGATAAATAGGTGCGCGGTCCGGCTTCGTAATGTTCGCAGATTTGCATATGTGAAAAAGGTATGGGTGAAACCGCGACAGAAGGCCGGGGAATCGTTGTCGTTACGAAAAGACAGGATAATATAGTTACGTCTAAACCTGAAAGGGTCGAAGAAGTAAAGCCAAGTCGTATAAGTGACACTAAGTTTACCTGTTTTATTGAAAAGGGACTTAGACACTTTATTATACGAAACATGTCTGAGAGAAAAGCCGGTATAAGGAAGGAAGACGAGGGCGAAGAGAACTGTCCATTCATAAGAATAAGCCGTGCATTTCCTGATGCAAGACTGACCTCCTTACGAATCTCTATAGAAAGAAAAACAACTTAAAAATAGTTATGACGGGTACGTGGTAATGGCGAAATTTGTAGGATGGATTTGCTTCTACTATTATGGAGTAAGGGGAGAGCCGCTTTATAAGCATACATAATATAGTCTGGGATTTTTGTTGTTTTTGTAAATAATAGTATCCTGGCAATGCAGTGTCAATTTTAGTACCATGAAGACATATGGAATTAACTAAGGTGCTGATGAGTAGCAAATGAAAAGCTCTCTCTGTAGACCGTAGATCTCATTGACTTGTAGAAAGAACCTATAGATTCCAACTGGATTCGGCCTATAGGTAGTGCTGAACGCAGGGCTCGATAGTGTTGACAAAGGTACGTTGCATTCTGTTGGATTTTGATTATTACAAATAATAATTCAGTTTCTTGTGTGATAAAAAAGAAGCAAAACAGTGGTTGCGAAATGTAGACAGATTTTGATACACACATGATAAGGAGTTCAAAGCAGAGTTCTTTATTGCGCTTGCAAATCGACATGTATGAACTTAACAAATTAAATATTTCTCATGGCTTGTGTTTTTTCATTATATGGTACGAACGTCCGCAATGCCTGCGGCGGTTCTGTGCTCGAAAAGAATTCTCAATACTGCCTTTTTGAGGGTAGGTCTGTTAAAATTGATTTTTTTGCGAAAACTTTTCCCTAGCTGGCTTTCGGCCTTTCGGCCTCGAAGTCACGGATGTTGACCGGTGTACAAGGTGCCACTGCTAGTCTCACGGACCATTTATACTTCTTTCCTTCCTAATTTGTGTAACTTTAGTTCTAAGTAGGTCTGCAGGCCAGATTTTATTGTTATTTGCCTGAAACTAAGGGACTTTTCCCATCAAACCCTGGGTTTCATATGCTCGGACCTTGGTTTGGGATTCATTAAAACGTAACGAACGTGCTTGCAGGGACGGCTATTGGATCTCTAAATTTGTCAATCGAGTATCCGTCGATTTTTCTAAAGGTTTCTTCACTTTGCGGGTAGCGGTAGTCCCTTGAAGGGCCTTATCTCTTTATCCCACGTACCCGGCTATGTAAAACCATTCCACTTATTTTTTGCTCAGCTGCCAATCAGATGCCATCGTCTCAGGTCCTCTGGGGCGATCGTTTGTATAGGATCAAAAGAATTGCATTTCAATTGTACGTAGTTATAGCGTCTCACTACGGTACCACTTGGTAAGTCCTAGAGTTCAACCTGGTAGTAAAAGACGATCCGAACTTCGGAGATATTTATCGGGAACCTATTAGCATTACCCTAGATTCCCCTACGTTAAAGGACCGTTACCTGTGAAACAATTTTGAGTCTACTGTAGCTTCCCTTCTTTAGCTAGTCAGTTGTTCCCCTTCTCTTCTTTTCAGTGCTTCCTCCTTAATTAGCTAGCTAGTGATCCTTGTTGCGTTGTATGCAGCCCTGGTGAGTCGCGCAGAAACTAAAAACAGAAAGTTTTTAGTTTCAGCGCGATTCTTTTGCCATCAAACGCTGTTTCGAAAGGCTAGTTCCTATTTTAGCACAAAATAGCATGATCCTCAACCCTGCTCTTTGCAATCTTAACGTGCTGCAAAGTGAGGGTCGTTTCCGTATGATGAATGATTGCATTCGCTACGTATAGAGGTACTGTAATCTTATTGTGGCAATAGCTTGTAAGTAAAACTCTGTGCAGCTTAAAGGCCAGAAGGCCGGCAGCGGCGGAGATTTTTTTAGCGTAATAAAAAAACGAAAACTTCCTTAGCTCTCGATAAGATAGGACCTTGTAGGCGTACCGCTGCGAGAGCGTCTGGTTACCGTCGTCCGCGCGTTTGTTTTGTTGTATAACTGCTTTCGTCATACACTTCATCCTGGTTAGGCCAGAGCGTTGCTCAGAGCTAAAATCGAGAACTAAAACCCTTTTAGTACAACCAGTGGTAACAACGAATTAATGGATTCGCATCATTGACGATTGATGAATGACGATGGATGACTGACGATGTATTCTCAGGATTCTTGTGATTGCTATTTTTCTGCGGATGGCCCTTGTTGAAGCTTAGACAAACTCTATGCAAGATGCTTCCCATACTTCCTAGCGTGCACGTATTCGAAAGCAGAAACCAAGTATTTATGAATATTCTTGATAAATAGTTTCTACAAGTTTTCCCGTGTGCCGTTAGATTTGTTGAGCCCATTTAATCGTTAGGTGCATATAGCAGGCAACTTTTTTCTATGCGCTTTTGCCATCGATGCGGTTATCTTACCAATCTATAAACCGATGAATGCATAGGAACAAAACATAAAAATACCTAAAATTTGATACACAAATACGTCCGTATCTGGGTTCAAACATGCGCCCTCTGGATACGAATGTATCCATCACATTCCTATACCCTGGGCAAGTTCGCGGGTTGCTATGGGCTTTGGACCGCCATGTTTTCCTTTCGTCCATGTAGAAAGCTATCAGTCGCTATTGCCGTTTCGCGTCAACATTTCGCGACGAATGTTCGCTTCAAAGTAAAATTAGACTATCCAGCGTTATAGTTTATGTGGCAACTATGAGTTGCATAACAGCATCATTCGGTTCCACATTTTTTTTTAATTAACTGTTGTATAAGCATTCAATTGAATGAATGTAATGAAGAAAGCGAGTAGTTTCAAAGACAAACTCCATCATATTCTGAATACGTGAATTTGTTTTAGGTAAGTTAGCACCGTAGCTCAGCTATCCGTAAACTTACTAATATTTCTAGCACGACAGCAACAGTAATGTACAATGAAATCAACATAATAACGACAACAAAGAAACCACATCAGATTAGCTATTAAGAATATGTGAAGCTAAAGCAGTCCTGCATTAGCACTTAGTTATAAAATGATTTGCTGGGTTATGAACCCACGTGCACTTAAGCGGTACTATCTGAGTGCATATATATACACTTTTACCCTACAAAAACCTACGTGTATTCATGCGCTACGCTCACGAAGTCATTCATAGCAGTTTAAACATTACAGGTATCAAAAGCAATCTGCCGAAGGGGCTTTAATGAAACGAGAAGCGCAACCCACCTTTTTTAAGGCCCACCTTCTTAACCGTTTTCTTCATAGTTCTATTCCTTCACCCTAACATCAATGCGCAATTCAATAAACCCGATTTTGTTTAAGTGCCCCGTATATTGATTGTAGATGCAAGTAACTTTGAGTAGTGTTTCTGCAAAATCTGCCAGCTAATCTGAAAGCTAGCATCCCTGCTGCGACAAATTTCCCGGCATCTCTCATTTTTGCTACCTTTAATTCGATGTTTCTTTTTCGATTATATCTGTATTGTGGCATGTTCAATGTAATATTTCTACATATTTGTGTTATAGCTAATTATTAATTAGATCCATTTTAGCAATGCAGTCAAGTCTAGCCAAGTAATTGAGAGGTGAATTTTACGAAGATGCCTGCTATGGCCTCGGTTACACTTGAAGGTGTACAATAATCGTTTGCCGCATGTATATATCAGATGAGGGATTTTTCCCGCCGATTTTTGCTGCTGAAGGCGAAATGAGCTCGCGCTTCCAGGAATCTTCTTGGTCCCTGTACTCAGGAAGCCGGCACGTTTCTGCTTTCCATGTAGTCCACAGGCTGGTAGAGCCGGTGCTGTTCTGCCGAACCTCACATGCAAATGGCCCAAGCGTTACCTTGGCCGATCTAAAGTGAGCGAGTGTAGAACCTTGCTGATTTCATGGCTAGCTATTTGTCCACTTTCACCTTTTATCTGTGCTAGTTAACTGAAGTTGGCCAGCTAACCGCTTAGATGTGAGAATGCGCCGGCTCGTTTACCAGGTCTCGATTTACGCATATGCACTAATGTACTTTTATATCGATAGAATGCATTGGTCAGGGTAAAAAACAGATTAAAAAAGGCCAGCATCTTCGGGAGGCGGCTTTTTATCGTAAGGGCGGCTAATGCAGTGTCCTAACAACCACGCCATGACGCTGCTGATCACGGTTGTGCAACACGCAGACCTGCAGACTGTATGACGCAATTGGCCAGCAACAGTTATTATTATTATACTAATACGGACGTTATCGGAAGAAGATAAGGTCACCAAGCACCAGTGGCAAGTTGCAAGAGGCGCATACAGATATGAAGACTGAAATAGCGCGCCGGAAAAAGCGTGAGAAGGCCGCCGGGAAATGATTTGTATAGGAGGATTTATTGCTTTGCTTGGTATATCTAGTTTGTAGAGATACGGTGATCCTTGATTCGAATCGGGAGTAAACGAGTGCGTCGTGGGGTTGGGCTCTATGCCCGTTTCTTTAACCCTAGTTTTCAGTATGAATCGTATATTCTGAAGCAAAAATATTTTGATTTGCTAGAACCATCCAGTCCGTTGTATTCAGACCTTCGAATGTAACTGAGACAAGATAGGGTTTTGTCTGTAACATCACTGACTACTAGTAGGTAATCTTTGTTTCTGTTGGTCAGTCAAAATAATATCGTTAATAACATATAAGTTACGCCATCTTATTGATGGTGCCTACCGAAGTGGAGGCGACGATAGATAGTGCTAGTAATAGGCAGTAGTTAGTTCCTTATGCGAGTCAACAGGCTCCATGATACCGTATTTGCTAAGAAGATGCTGATTAGCTCTGTCCATTTATATTGTAAACCAGAAAGTGATCTCGCGAACCAGATGTAGCGGCATAGTGTTTATGAGCGAAACGCATATTTCAAAACATTGTTTCCTTAAGTAAAA